CGCGTTAGAAGCGGGAGGAGACTCTGAATGAAGCAAACAGGTTGTGATTGTTTCCAAAGAGACTCTGAAGTGGAGTCAGAGCGCCGCGGCTCCGCTCGCCTTTAACTCTGAAGCTGCTGGATGTGGAGGAGTTTAGATGAAGGATTTAGTTCATATGATCCTCAAACTAAATGTCATCTATTCTTCCGCAGGAGAGACGCGGGGACACTTTCCCTCCACGAACCTTTTGGATTTGAGCGCAGCAGAGAGATCTGCGGACCGAGCGGCCAAAGATGAACACCGTTGTGTTTAACAAGCTGAGCAGTCAGGTCCTGTTTGAGGAGAAGGCGAAGGAAGTGGAAATGAGCAGCAGAAATTACCTGGAGGTCATCGACGGCCAACATCCGGACCTCCTCTGCAGCAGCCCGGCCATCAGAGACAGCCAGGCGGCCAGACACAGGCGGAGCGGGTATGTGAGGCTCTCTGTTCTGGTAGAAGCTGCTGCTCAGCATGCGTGGATGTGGGTCGGCTTTAGTGGGTGAAGGAACCCACGGGGGGAAAATCTGACAGCCTGGTCAACCTGCTGGTCACTCGTTAGCTGAGCGAGAAACGGAGAAAAACTCTCTTCAGATCTCAGGGATTAAATCTTCGGGTTTTGCGCAAATAAGCGCCGCAAATGAAACATCTAAACCAGAGACTTAAAGACTGATATGGGTTTAGATTTCAAGTAGAAATATTATTAAACTCCATCAGCAGTAGCTCAGCAGAGTTTTTATCATGTGCATGTATTAATAAAATAATGAACGTGATGGACGTTTTTCTGTTGACGTGCGTAAATACGCATTTGCTCCAAATTTGGCTAACATGATTTTAAGTGTCTCCGTTCAGAGTTTCTAAATATTTTCGTCCTGAGGTTGTGATGAAGAACAATAATAAACCTTTTTCTAGACTGCTGCTGATCTAATGACCATTAAAGCTGTGATCAGAATTAAGGTTAGAATTAAGACGCAGCTGATATTTGTTCAGTAGCTCGTTGCTCCAGAGACACGAGTTAGATCCGCGCCTAAAGACAAGTTATTTCATGAATCTGTTATCTAATTATTTGATTTATCTGCGAATCCAAGTATTTGTTTTCTTTTCACAGAAACCATTTTATTTATTCAAAAGTAAGGTTTTGAATATTTAGCATCTAACCGTAAAAATGTAAACAAAACTTTGCTGAAAAGTATGTATTGTGTAAAGGGCGCCTCCAGAATGATGTAAATATACAGGATGAAACCCTGAATATATATGTTCAAATAAAATATGTAAAATACAAAAAAAAATATTAAAATTTAAAAATGTATATTTAAAATATCAAATAAGATTAATTTGATCTGGAAACAAACAACAAAAAACAAACAAACAAACAAACAAACAAAAAAAAAACAGGCCAGTATTCAGTCCCGAGCGTAATTCCAAATGGAGGAAAAAAAAAACGTTTTTATTAAACTGTTAAATCAAAATGCTGTGTTGGAGACTGTAACTGTACCTGTAAATGACATATTACTGTATTATTTTTTCATCCTCCTTTAAATTAAAATCATTTAGGCATTATTATTATTAAAACCAGATTAATCCAAACCGACCAGCCTCACATTAACACAGCGGCGTTAACCGAAGTTCCCCTGAGCATGTTCTGTCTCATCGACTGAATTTCTTTTTACAGTTTCATACAAAACTATTTTTCTGTCAAACTGAATAATTAGGTAGAGATTTATCAAAATGATACATATTTAGGTCTTTAGTGAGTACATTTGCGAAATTTTGCGCAAATTCGTAGTCCACTAGATGGAGACATCACCAGTCATCAGTGGCAATACTACATAGGCCCGTATATATGTATATAGGCTGCCTGTTGTACTATATTGAGATAAATTCAATATAGCACAATATTGACCTTTTACTGACAAAGGTCAATAAAAGGTCATCAGCTGCAGGAAACTGGGGAAATTTTATCCTTCATGTTTGTCTCATGGAGTCGATGACTGGAGCTGAACGCAGCTGAAATATGACAGAATGACACATGTACTGCTGGAGAGGACAAATAGTAGATCTGTGTGTAAACAGGTGGAACTTTTGCTTGAAAGATAACTATTAAATTCATAACAATTGATGCATCGCCAGACTACTACCCCAACTCCACATCTGTTTCCAGTAAATAAATCCACCTTCAGCTCTGTGTTCTAGTTCACCACATGAAGAGCTGGTCTGAATGGATCTGACATTGTATGTCTGGAACAGGAAGCAAATAGAAGAGAAGAAAGTTTGGTTTGTTTGGATCAGCTGTTTGTGAGGCTGAAATGAGCAGAGAGAGGAAGGAGCTGCAGAAACATTCAGGATCAGGTGAAGGAATGTTCTCTAACAGAGCTCTGGGGTCAAAGGTCAGAGTGAAATGCGCTCCATGATGTTCAGGCTGATCCAGATTACAAGGAAAATATTTGGACCTCGGGCCCGCTTTGAGGTCCGACTAAAATGGGTTCCATCTGCAGCCAGTGGAGCCGTTTTGGGAGCTAAAGGAGAAGTGGAGAGCAGCACCATACTGACATCTGCAGGTTCAGGTGTTCCTCCTGTGGGTTCAGGACGTTCCTCTGATTCATCTGTCGACATTTTAGACTCGCCATGAATTTCTGACATCTGCTTGCTGAAGCCCCGGGTGTGTCCGGTTGTTTGCCTGTGTCTAAATGCTGTCCCTGCTGGTGCACAGGGGTCGTCCCAGCGGCAGCAAAGTGCGACACAAGCGCCAGGCCCTGCAGGACATGGCGCGGCCGCTCAAGCAGTGGCTCTACAAGCACAGAGACAACCCGTACCCGACCAAGACGGAGAAAATCCTGCTGGCGCTCGGCTCACAGATGACTCTGGTCCAGGTGAGACGCTTTCTTCTGCTCTGATTCCAGTAGGAGAGAAAGAAAAGTCACAGAGACAGGAGAGTGATCAGGCTGCTGGAGTTTAGATAGTTCAGCTTTTACTGTTCCTGAACGTTTAGCAGCAGCTGAGCAGGAGTGAAGTGTTGTTTCCTCTGCCTTCCAGATCCTCCTGCAGCTTCTCCTCTCTCTGCTGAGCGTCTCAGGCTTTGATTGTTTCTTCCAAAAGCTGCAGCTCAGCTTCATCTCATGTCCCAGAGAGTCTAATAGCGTCAGAACTAAATATGTATTGTTAAGTAATAATAAATTTGTCCTGCTGAATTTTTCTGTTAAAGAAGAATAGATGTTTACCTGTTTGCAAATTATTCCCAAATGATTTTCTTTAGATATTCCTTAGAGGTGCACAGATTGCAGTTTTTTGGCTGGTTGCTGATGACTGATCTGTAAAATGTCTAACCTGCTGATTCTGATTTTGGCTGATACTGATGTTTTTGATGTAGCAAGAAAGTTGTTGACTTGGCAACAGTGGAGTGACTACTGTTAACTGCAAACGTGAAGACATGACCTGGTGTCTGTCAGTCAAGACTCATGGCAGAGGGAAAAAGGTGTGGTTGATTTTTAGACCTTTACTGAGGTAGATAAGATCAACTTTACAGATATCGGCCAATCACTGATCTCCCCAAATTAACAAATTCGGGGCCAAATTATTGTGCACCCTCACTCTGTTCTCCTTGTTTGATGAACCTGGTTCTGTTTTCACTTTATTAAGGATGAAAAATCTTGTTTTTTGCCCGTCAGTAAAATGAAAACAG